ATTACAAGCAATGCTGACTTGAAATTAATGAAATACGAGTAATGCGTAAGGCGTACCTTGGTACGGACAATGTTCTTGTCTGAGTCGATGTCTTCCAGCGTGTCATAGTCATCCTCCTCCACAGAGCTCAGAGACTCCTGCCTGCTTCGTCCAACACTCTCCAATGATCGCTCTGAAGACAAGTGAGAGGATGAACAAAAGAAAAGAATCTTTCACTTCACTGGAGGGACAATCTGATCTAGACGGCCATCTACATTGTTATAAAATGTTTTGATGCAAACACATTACACCTTTAAAATTTCTTTGCAATTTTCAAATATATTAACCAGAAAATCAGAATGGTTGTTGGTACTTTACAACACCAATGTTTAGCTGTTTATTTCAGTATCATAAAAGATTAGGAATCTGGTCTCTTTCTGGCATCAACATCTCAAGTCTCATTGACATATGATTCAAATAGAGTTGATTGGTTTGGTGGAAATCTCAGAACTGATTTGGCCAATTATGTGGCAGTGTGTCACCGATGTGGATGGCTAAGTGGTGAAGGTGATTGAGGATTGGTCGACGTTTGAAAAGCTCCTGCCCTGATGAATAAAAGCACACAGAAAACCAGTGAGGAACAGGAGCTGTTCACAGGGAACCAACTGCAAGCCAGGCTGTGGAGACATAATGCAGAATGACAACGGTGGGCCACAAACAATGTGTGTGTGTGTGTGTGGGTTGGTCCATACCCATGTATCCATAGTTGTTGTCAGTTGAGGTGGCGCTGTCGGTGATGGCCTCTGAACTCAGAGTGCTGCCGTTGTCAGCTGTTGGAGAAAGGGGAGAGAAATGTTTAAAATTCACATAGATTAAAACATAAACAAAACCAAAATGGTTCAAAACTCACCAATGGAGCCATATTCATATGGCGAGACTGGACTCCTGCCTGTTGAGACATGCACACATGTAAAAATCGAAGCTGATTACCAAAAGCGCATGCGCAGACAAGCATGTGGAATACCCATAATCGTTAGTATCTTAACAATCCACACTAAAACATCACTGCAGCTGAGTTGTTAGTACATAAACACAGAATAATGACAAGGGCATCGAGACATGGCCAGCAGTTTCTTTTCAGGCTCAAAATGCTTGAAAAGAAAAAAACACATATCTGAAATAACAGTTTGAGTTAATGAATTAATGAACGTGAGTACACAGTGGTGCAGATGCTGATTCGCTGTGAGGAGTAGTGACTGCTGCAGTGAGAGGGAACTGTTTAAAAACTGTAAGCATTATGTGGTTTAAAATCAAGTATTGTCAGCATGCCCTGCACTGAAGAGATACAGATGCACACAGCGAGGCAAACCTGAGCTGAAGAACACACACACACACACTTTGATCTTAATGATTATCTCCAGTATGTTTTCCATGGAACAACTTCTATTTTATGCTCTTTAGCATTAGCACCTACAATGGATATACAGTACGTGTGTTTCTTCAGTCAACAAACTGTACAGTTGTGAGGACTTAGGGTAGAAGGAGAACACTGATGAAATATGTGATGAACAGGATGATGAACATACTTTGTGGTTAGTTGTACCTAACAAGTGGATCATGTGCATCTGTATCTCTAGATCTTGGATTAGTGCCATGTTTATGTGACTACACAGTCCACAACAGCTAAGCACATCACTTTATTTTCCTTCTAAGAATAAGAAAGGAGAGTTACACTATGCAAACTAATGCATGCAGAGCATCCACGGACAAGCAACACACTGTGAGACAGGACAATCAGTGCACAATAGGAGTAACTGTGTTGTTATACCGTCTCGGTTCTTCCCAAGCAGAGAGGCTGCACCACACATTAGCATGAGGGGAAGAGAATGAGAGACACACCGAAACATTACAGTCTACATAAAAAGAATTTAATGGTTATTATACAGCATATTTATAGTGTATATTATGGCATAGACTCTGCAGTACAGTGTCATGGCTTCTAAAGAAAATGATATCCTCCACACACCCTTTATTGAGCCCATAATGGGCCAGTCCATCATAGCTAGTTGCTGGGTTACCTGTCTCAGCAGGCGACATGTCAGCAGGGTTCTGAAACACCTCTCTCTTCTTATTCATTCTGCAGAAACAGAGAGGAAAGGATGCAAATTAACATAATTTGCAGTGGACTTTTATACATCTACATTCACTGATCATAGATCAAGCGTCCTGGGATAAACTGTGACCAATAATATATGTCTAAACAGTGTCAACTTGTACTGCTGTTCTTTTTGTGTGATGTTAATGTACACTTTCTGGCCTCTTAGGTTAATCTAATGAAGGTTAATAAAGTTGTCTTAAATGATGTGAAACCATAACTAAACCAGAAGCTTTATCTACTGTAATAAGTACTGTCAGTACCAGAGTGAAAAGGGAAGCTATTTCTGTCACTTTTAAAGAAAAGTGATTTCAAATACAAATATCTCTGAACTCGAGCAAGCCCGTATAACATTAAATGAAGGAAATACAGTAACTAACTGTTGGTTTGGTTGCAGAGAAAAGTGTAAAATCCTACCGCATCTTCTCTACACAGGCCACCAGCAAGGTGAGAAGGTAGAAAGAGAGGAAGATGCCCAGGCAGAACAGCATGCCCATCACATATGCCTCCGCTGTGGAGTGTGGAGACACATATATTTAAGCTCATTTA